CACTGATATTCCAGCTCTTTCCAGCCACTTCTCCTAGAGCTGCGAACTCAGCCAGTACATGACCGGCCTTCCAAAGCGTCATAAAAATGGTTTTATCAGCTGTTTTTCCAAGGTATAACAAGAGTTTCCAACTTTCCAGCCTGCAATGTCTGCACCCTTCCCACCTGCAGCAAAACCACTAAGTCAATGCCTCATACTGTAGGGGTTTTGCTAAAACAGCAAATAATAAACTGCCAGTATTGTTCTTTATTTATTTAGGGTCAGGGAAGGCTGCTATAAGAATGAGAGCCCATAATGATTTGGTGGCTCAACAAAGAGGGAAATGTGTTTCTTTCACACGTAATAGTCTATGAGGACCATTCCAGATTGGCAGGCTGTTGGGTTCCACAAAGTCATCCAGGAGCCTGGGGGCCTTCCGTCCTGTTGCCCTGCCATCCTCTAGGCCATTGGCCTTGGCAGCTTGATCACCGCTGGGTTGGAGGTGCATCCAGGTTCCCACTTGTGGGAAGGGGAAAGAAAGCATGGGGGTGGTGGGAGGGTACACCTGAAGGCCGAGGCCTGGGAGAATCACGCTTCCCTTGCCGGTATATGCCATTGGCAAAAAACTTAATCACATTGAGAGACCTCCGTGCAGGAGCATCTGGGACCTAGAGTCTGGCTGTGTGCCCTGGAGGAAGGGGAAAATGAGTGTTGGTGGGCAATTAGCAGTCTCTGCCCTGTGCCTGGGAGCTGAATGGGCAGGTGGTCCTCCTGAGTCATATGGCCTTGAGCATAAGTCGAGAGGACGTTTGTCTCTGTGGGAGGCCCTGGTCCTCTCACCCCACACACGTGCTTATTGCCCATCCAGAATGCGGGGCCAGCAGACCACGATGACACACGTTCGCTTGGCCAACTTTGCCGGATCTAAAATGTACTCTCCAGTACTCTCTAAAATGATGCCCAGCCTCCTCCCCTGTGCAGGTGGGTGCCCGAGAGAGACACATGGCGGCCCCAGGAACCTGCTGGGGGATGGAAGGGTGTGCTAGCCTGGAGTCTCCAAGAAGCAGACGCCAAGAGAGGATTAAGTGTGCAAGGATGTCATTAGGAGACATGCATGTGGGAAATGAACTAGAAGGAGCCAGTGAAGGCCTGGGGGACTCAGCAGGGCAGGCCTCGATGCAAGAATGACCCCGAGAGAAGGAGATAGGGAGAGGTGACCGTGGCAGTCTAAGAAAGCTTCAGCAGACCCACTGGGAAATTCTCGAGCCAAAGTCGACCAAGAAAAAAATCGGCGTCTCCTGGGAATGGTTCTGTCCTCGTGTCCCCAGCTGTGCACATGGTCATTGGTGGGGAGCAGCTCATGGGGGCATGGGATGGATGTCAAAGCCAGGGCTGCTCTGATAAGTATCTCCCCTGTCCCGAGAGGTCTGCAAGGCCCATTCTCACGGCTGCCACGGGAGGTTACAGTGGGAACTGGGGTTCACACTCCAGACAGAGGCTTTGAAAATTTTGAAATTAAAAAAAAAAAATTAGACTGGGTTGCCACCCTGCTCACCACAGACAAGCTGGGTGGCATTGGGTGAGAAAACGAATCCCTCTGATCCTTATTGGTTTCTTCATCTGTAAAATGCCTGGGAAATGTAATCAGGATCAAAGTCAAGTTCCCGCATGAGGTGTTTGCTAAATGGTGCCCTTTATCCGCTCCCCATTTTGCCAGAGCTCAGTGGGTCTAGGGGCTACTCCACACGTGCTCCCTGAGGAAGGAATCCCAAGTCCACGGCTGATCCCAGTTCCCTGGGACAGCAGCTAGCCCCTTCCTCTCAGCCCCACAGCGAGTGGGCCCAGAATCAGTCCGGAGTGGGCTGCAGAGGCTAAGCTGGCTTGTAAACCAGTCTGAGAAGCACCCTGATAAATCTCTCTCCCAGAGCCAAAGAGCAATACTTAGAAGAGACTGCCCCGTCCAGGCCTGGGAGGGCCACTTGTTACCTCCTCTGGGCTCCAGCTTGTTTGAAAACTCATCACCCAAGCTAGGACTGTGGGCTGAGGCCCAGGTGGGGAAGGGAAGGAAGGAGGCGTCTCCTTGGACAAGCCTGTAAATCCCAGCGGCAGACGGCAGACGGCTGGGCAGGCTTCCACCCACCCCAGGCACACGTCGGCTCTACAGCTCCTGAGAGGCGCTGTCTCTGGTTTCTCTCTCCCCGTGCCCGTTCTGCAGAGCACTTTCTCGGCCGCCTTCCCTCCCTCCTACTCTCTGTGGGCCCCTCCCCCCACCCACCTTTCTTCTCTCTCTCCAATGGTGGCCCTGATTCTTCTCCATCTCCTGACACCTCCCGGGGCTCCTGGAGTCTGAGTGTGTAGCTCTCTGTACTTCCCCATCTCTGGAGGTCTCCGAGTCTCCCTGTCTCCCTCAGGGGCCTCATTCCTCTCTGTCTTGCTGGTTCTCATGCTCTCTTGCTCCCTCGGAACCATCTCTCTCCCTCTGGTTCCTCCTCTTCCACCATTTGACCTCCCAGCCCAGCCGCCTCCTTGGAGCTGTATGCTGCCTTGGACCGCCTTCAAGCCACAAGGAGCAGCCGAGCCCCAAAAGTTCCATAGGGACCTTGGAGGAGCACCCCGATGCCCCATCCGCCCTCCTTCTTCCTCTGTGCACGGCAGACCTGTTCAGAACCAGAGGGCCATGCACCCCACACCCAGCCTACTCCCTCTAATAATACAGCCTCCCAACCTCCGCCCCCTCCCCCAACCCCTCTTGGGGTCACTGCTTCTTCTAAACTTCTTTCGGTATCCAACCCTTAGAGCTCATGGCTAGTTACAGGCGATACTAAGAAACTGGGACAAATAGGACATCGTTTTTATACCAAAGAGAGGGGAACTGGCTTAATTAAATGTGCAGTATCTATTCAACAGAATTTTATAAAAACCATGATGTAGAGCCATACGTACAGGTGTTAAATACAAATCCAGGTAAGCCAAAAGCAGATTAAAAATAGTATTTAGAGCATAAACCCATTTTGTAAAAGAAAAGAAATATGCATAACATCATAATTTACTTCAGGGTGGTGGGAGTATGGGTAACTTGTTTTTTATTGTGATGAACAAATAAAGCCAACCAGGACATAGGCCAGATAGGCACTGATCTTCTTCACTGCCCCTTTATTGATTTTAACCCAACAAACATTTCTGAAGCTCCAACTGGGTGCTCAGCCCTCCCAGCAGCCAAACAGGAACTGGGGTGATCAGATATGCAACAGATCCTATGACAACCCCTGGAGACTGGCCAGGGTGACCCAAGGAGACCCTTCAGGTAGGTCTTCAGCTGGGGTTGGTGCTGAAGGTGAATAGAAGAGGCTCTTGGGGGCAAAGGGTACTGGCAGGGGAGGGGTACCCAGAGGGGAGCTGGGTAGCTAGGATCTCAAATGTGAAGGGTGTGAACCCCACCCCCCCAGGAAGGCTTGGGGCACCCACCAATTAAACAGCAGAAACAGGACCCACTGCTCAAGACGTGCGGTAAGACAGGGGAGGAGGATGAGGGACTAGAATGGGGGGGGGGTTCTCAAACCAGCCTAGCCATGCAGCAGCAGAGACTGGAATCAAAGCCTGAACTCACCGCTGCCTGGCCAGGCTGTGGCCCTTGAAGTTAAGGGCCTTCTGTCAGGAACCCTCACCACAATGAAACTGGCCGTGGACTGCAGGGGCCAGTGTGTTCCCAAGGGCTAGGCAGCGCCAAAGACCCCAGCCCCCAAGGCCCTGGGCCTGGCCTCCTCTGTTGGAGGCAGATGGGAGGACATTCTTTCAGGCCCTGTGGGTTCTATTTTTGTTTCTTTGTTTCACTTCCTCGGCTCTCTAGTTTTCTGCAGAGTCTAGCGCTAGGAGAGGTGCGGAGTCAAGAGGCAGTTCAGTTGTCCTGCGGGGCCGAGCTGAGCGCAGCACCAGCCCCCACCACCAGAGGGCACCCGAGCACAGAAACTGGCAATTTCGAGAGAGGGGTAGCCAAAGCACCCAAGCTCTCCGCGGATCTCTGAACTACTCAGCCTAGGGCCTGGCCACGGTGGGTCAGCTCTGGAGTAATCCTGGAGGGCTTGGCTGGGTGGGGGCCCCATGTGTGGGGACCTGCCCTCCTCGACCGAACGTGGCTTATTACATAGATCGCCACCTACTGCCAGGTGATAGTGTTACACTGCCAACCCAGAGGGTTTAGGGTGTAGGCAGGAGTGCGGGGCAGCTGCTGGAGAGCACCGGAAAGGGACCCGTGTGATGGAAGGAGCACTGGACGCGGAGTCAGGACAGCTGACTGCGCCGCCACTACGTTCTGTGTGACCTCTCCCTCTGCCCTGTTTGTTTTCTCATCTGTAAACAGAGCGGGTGGGAAGACTTGGTGGTACCCAAGCGCCCTTCAGTCTTCCAAAGATATGCCCCACCCTCCTTGAAGTGGCCTGATGAGGGCCACGGAGGCTGGAGAAAGGGGACCGAAGAACCGAAACGGCCGCTGTCTGCTTGGGGCAGTTCAGGGGCGCCCGGCACGGCGCTGAGTCAGCACGGGAGACGCGCAGCACTCTGTCGGGTCCCACCACCCAAATATCCCCGCCCAGGTCTCCCGCTGCTGGCCCGGGCAGCGCCCCACCCGCCGCCTGTAAGGGGCGCCGCGTGAGTGGGATCTTCTGCGGTGAGTGCGGGACGATGACCCGGCCTCCCTGAGAGGTCAACCGCACCAAGAAAGGTTCTCTCCGTCCTCACGGCGCCGACCTTCGCCTCGCGGGCGGCTTCGCTCCATCCCGGACGCTGGCGATGGGGAACAGAGCAGGGAGGCAGGAGCGCTCTGGGCCGGGTGTGGATCCACTTGGGGCGGCGGGTAATGGCCCCGGGCACCGCGGGCGCGACCTCGTTCCGGTGATTGAAGCTTGTGGAGTTACCTCCACCCGGGGATCCCTGGCCCCACATTCCTGCCACAGCCTTCTCCCACCTCCCCCAGTCTCGGGAGCCTGGGCCCCGAAGGTTCAAGAAGTCAAGAGCCTGGAGAAATGCACTGTGCAAATATATTGACTTTATTTGTCTCCGTTCGGGAGCCTCACAGACATATCCAAGTAAAAAGATCGTTAAATAAACGCCGTCAGCCATCGCAATGCAAAAATAAATATCAGTCCTCCGGCCGCAGCAGCAGCTGCGCTGCGCCCCAAGTCCCATCGGCCGCGCCTAACAATTATAAAAGTGTTCAGCGAGAGTGTGTTGGCGTGAGTGTGAACGGGTGTGCGCTGGGGGGCACGGTGGAGCGGTGTGCAAAATCGGAGTTGCAAACCATCAGACAAGGGCGTGGAGCGGCTCTCGGGGGAGCCCCGGCGACCCAGGGCCGACTCAGCGCAGGCGCGCCTCCCGCACACACTCATGGCAGAGTCCGTACTGGGAAGAGTTAAAAAATAAACATTTACAAGGGCAAAGAAAGCGGCCCCCCTCCCCGGCACCCCCGCGCGCTCCGGCCCGGGACCAGTGCAGCGCGGGGCGCACCGAGCAGCTCGCAGCCCGGCGAGAGGTCCCGGTCCTCGCGGGTCCCCGGGGCGCGGGGCCCGGACCCTCTGGGGCTTGGTTCGCGGGTCCCCGGGCGGGCGGCGCCTCTCACAGGGCCGAGTCGGAGTCGCTGGAGTCCAGGCTGTTCCTCAGCTTGCAGCTGCTGAGCTGCTCCCTCTGCAGCGACAGGCTCTGCGTGCTGCGGCGCAGGCACTCCAGGCTCTGCAGGAACGACTTCTTGGCCTTCTCCTCCTCCATGGGGGACACCCCTTCCTCCTCCACCTCCTGGATCTCGTCGAAGGTCACCGGCTGCGTCTTGAAGCGGGACTGGCGCGGCCGCCGCAGCCGGCCCTTGCCCTTGGACAGCTTGGCGGGCCGCACGGGCTGCGGGAACTCGTCGGCCAGGCACACGAAGTGTGGCATCACCGCCTGGTAGCTGGAGCAGATGCCCATCAGCTCGCCGGGCTTGGCGGCCGCCATGGCGCTACCGGCGTCTTCGGGGCCGGGCGGCGGGGCGCCGGGGCTCTCAGGGGGCGGCCGCTGCGCCGGGGCCCCCCGGGAGGCAGCAGCCTGGGGCTCGCCGGGCGGGGGATCCAAATCTGCTGCGGGGTGGCGGCGGCCCTCGCGGGCCCGGGTCGGCGTTCCTCGGGAGGGCGGGCGGGAGGGCCCGTCGGGGGGCGCGGGGCTCGGCTGCTGGGCTGCGCTCCCGGGCGCTCGCCGCCGCGGCTGTCACCGTTTGCCCCGCGGCGGCCCGGCCCGCCGCTTATATAGCCCGCTCCTGCCCACACGGCCGCGAGCTCGGATGACAGCGAATGCCATTTAAAGCGTGCGCGCCCCGCGCCCTTCCGCCTGACGTCGCCCCGCCGCTCTGGGAAAGTAACGGCCCTTTCCCCAGCGCCGCCCGCCCGCCCGCCCCCAGCCAACCCGGCTCCGGAAGGCAGGCCCCGCCCGCGGGGTTCCGGGAGCATCCGAGGCCCCGGGAGCACGCGGCGGGGCGGCGTGGCCGGAGAGCCGGCGGCGGGGTGGGGCTCGGATCGGCCGCACTGGGGGCTGCCACTGTCCCGTCCTGGGATCCCCAAGTTCGTACGGACCGTGGTGGCCGCGGCGGCGCAGGTCCCCTCCCCCTCCCTGATCCCAAATGCACACACTCAAGACGCTGGTGATTCCGCGGCGGGTTCTGCGTTGGGTGGAGGCAGCTCCCAGCCCTCCTTCAGCGGGGAGAGCCGGGGCGCCGGGAGAGCCGGGGCACCTGACTCCCCAGAACTGAGTTCGGAGAAAGGGTTGGGTTTCTTCTCTGGATCCTTGTCACCCTTCCCCAGACAAACGCAGATCCATATACACACACAAACACGCACAGACCCATGCACGAATAAAGACGCACCCCGATTATTCCATCCCGGTTCTTCCCTTCCCTAGCCGCCTTCTCTCCGTCTCCTCACAACCCCACCCCCAAGTCCCTCGGGCACCAGCCCCCTATTCATTCTCCGAAGAATGACACTTGGATAGGCACTAATAACAATGATAATAACTACAATCTGGAGAGCTTCACTGCAAGCCAGCCAGTGAGCTTCGTTTTACATATATTACCCTATTTAATCTTCCTAACAGCCCTGTGAGGTAATTGGTATTCTCCCAAATTTACATATGAGATAGTAAAGGCACAGAGAGGATAAGTAGCTAGTTCTCTAGGAATGGATGGAACCAGGTGGAGCAGACTGCACAGGGTGCTCTATTATGGTGCCGGGGCCGAAGGCTGGTACCCCCCCCCCCCCCATGCCCCTAGAGCTTCTAAGAGCAGGTGCCCTCGTTTTCCTGACTCCCAAGAAGGAACTGTGAGCATGGCTCCAGACCCCAGGGGCCTCAAGAGTGCCAGGCAAAGGGTGGAGCTCACCCTGCCTCCACCTTCCCCACAGGCACCCAGCTAGGCTCACAGGGCCAGGGGAATGAAGGGAATCGATGGGATTTGGCCTCCATTGCTCCCACAGCCATTCAACAGATTCATTAAGGACCGCCTGCGTCCCAGCTCTGGAGTTACATTCCAGTGGGTGGGGCAGACAATAAATATGGAAACAAGACCGTGTTCTTGGGTGGTGTGAGAGGGATGCAGATGGAGAAAGGTGCAGAAGGGGAGACCAGGAAAGGCTTCTCAGTTAAGGTGACCCTGAGGGACAATAGTAACACTGCTACATGCTTAATATGGGCCATGCTCTGAGTACTTTTTATACCTTAACTCGACTTCTGCTCAACAGCCCTGGGAAACAAATACTTTTATTATTGTTCTTTACAGATAGAAAAACCAAGGCACAGATAAAGCTAAGCAGCTTAGTCAAGGTCACACAGCTGGTACGCAGCAGAGCTGAGTTTCAGACCCAGGTGACTTCGCTCCTAAGCCCTCACTCTAAACTTAACCCTGAAGCCCTTTGCCCTGTGCAGTACAAAGAAGGAACCAGAGTGTGATCAAATGAAGAGTGTTTCAGGCAAAGGGGACCCTAGGGCAAAGGCACCAAGGCAGGGAAGAGCTAGTGAGAAAAGCCATGTGGCTAAAGCAGAGTGGGAAGGGGGGATGAGGAGTAGGGACAGGCGCAGAAGGCCTTGACGGCCACGTTAAGGAGACAGCATTTTATTCTGAGGGCAATGGTAAGGCACTGGGGAGTTTGGGGCAGGGGAGCGACATGCTCCAATCCCTGTTTTTAAGAGCTCACTCCGGCTGCCATGTGAGGCGAGGACTGGAGAGGGAGGGGTGCGGAAGAAGCAGGGAGCCCACTTACAAGAGTGTGACATCACCGTCCCCCCCCCCCCCCGCCCAGATACAAGGCACTGAAGACAGGGACTGGGTGAAGACAGTGGAGAGGGAGGAAAAGGTCAGATTTGGGATGTGCCCGAAGAGAGAATGAGAGGACTTGCTGATGGATTAGATGGGGCGGTGGGAGGAATCAAGATTGACTTTGATGGATTTGGCCTGAGCGAGTGGTAGACCGGGACAGGAAGGTTGGAGAATGGCAGGGCCATTGTGGAGTCTGCTGGCTAGCCATCAAAATCCTCTACCTATGGAGGTGAGGCCTGGAGTGCTCATATCGGAACTATATTATGCAAGTGAAAAGTTTATTTATATAATCTTAAGGCCATCTTATTTGGGATTTTCTTTTAACAGCAGCTTAGCAGTACTCTAATACAGAAAGTGGTACTAGGAATGCAAAGCTGCCATGTATAAAAACCCTAAAATCTGTGGCACTGGCTTCGCCAACAGGTGGTAATACAGAAACCAGGAGTGGAGGATGGAAAGCTGGTGACCCTTGTTATGCTGTGACAAAACATTTATTAAAACCGTTACCTGTGATCATTCGGAAGACAGACCACATGCCTACTGAGCCTGTAATTCTTGAAAAACGGCTGGAAAGAGCTAAAAACAGTTGCACGTGTTGGCTGCTCAATGATGCTTTTAGCCAGATACCCCAGCAAAGAGATTGGCTAGTTTGCAAGAAGTGATGAGCAGAAGGGGAGATAATACAGAGACCCACTATCATCAGGGCTGGAAAGCCCAGTTGGTTTTGTCCAAGGAGCAGAAGATCAGACTGTCATGGCTTGTTGTGGCAGACCGCTTCTCCCCAGTACCCTCTCCAAGCTTGTCTGTGAGGCCATGCCGAGGGACCACCCCTGTAGCAAAGTATTATATTAGCACTGTTGCCTTGTCATTCAAGTCTATTATTTTAGATGCCTTTAGGATAACTTTCATTTAAAATGAGAGAGAGAGGAGTTGGGCAAGGCAAACAGACTTAATAACTCTGACAAGAAAGGAGCTCTGGGTGTGGTTGCTGGCACATGGAACTGACTAGAGGCAGACCAAGTTTTTGAAGAATTATTATTATCAACAAAATTGCAAGGCTGGACTTCAAAAGCCCATGATCCTTCCAGCCCAAATACATGTTCAAAGAAGACAGACTTTCAATACCCTGTAGGGTGGTAGTGAAGAGTAATAAACAAGAAGGAATTTGCCAAGGGCAAAGTCAAGGGCCAGGGAGACACAGGGCCAGAACCTCCTCCACCACCAGAGCAGGGAAGTCCTCATGGTTCTAGAAGGGGGACTGTGGCGGAGACTGCTAGCTGTCCATCAGCTGGGTCACATTTCCCAGCTTCCCTTGCAGCTAAGACTGGGCCATGTGTCAAAAGAGTCATCTGTGCAATGTGAGCAGAAGTCAACGGTTCGACTTCTGCCCCACTTGTGTATGAGGAAATTCCCACCCTAAGCTTCCATGTTTTTCCCCATACCGACTGGAAGAGTGATTACCAGACCCTGGATCCTTCATGTTAGTCTGGATCCCTACATGACCCCGTGGGGCAGAGCTATCTACCAACCTGAAACACTTCCCTTGGAGCTATTACATGAGAAGGCAATCAACTGAATATTTTTAAACTACTCTAATTTCAGGTCTATTATATCGACTCAGCATTATCCTAACCAAGAGAGCCATTAGACATCTAAGGTCAAGCAGGACACTGGCAGAACTCAGACGAGAGGTGAGGGATGGAGTAGCACTTTGGGAATCTTCAGGGTACAGATGGGATAGTGGTTGAAAGCCCGCCTTCTAGAGAAAGAAGGGCTGCGAGCAGCCAACACTGGGGGGCCAGATGAGCCAGTCAAGGACTCAGAGAAGCAATGTCCAACAGGGTTAAGAGGGAAACCAGGAGAACATGTCAGAATGCATGAGAAGGATGTTTCTAGAAGGAGGAAGATGATTAGAATGGCAGTCCAGAGACAGGTCCTAGTCTGGCTCTACCTGAACCTCCTGTGGGGCCTGGGGCAAGCCACTAATCTCTCTGCACTGTGGAGGTCTCAGCTCAAATGGTGCCCCATAAGAGCAGCCTTCCCTGGCCACCCTATTCCAAGTGGTCCCTCAGTCACTCTATACCACTAACTAAATGGCCTTCTTACCTGTTTGTTCCCCTCAACAGTGTTGTCTGCCTTCCCCACCGGCCTGCCAGCCTCCGTCTCTCCCCAGTACCTGGGCTAGCTCTGGCACGCAGCAGGAGCTCCGGGTTCCTCGTGAGTGGACCGCCACCCTGCTCCTCGGCTCCCCGTGACCTCTGCTCCCATAGCTCCTGCCAACACCACCTCCACCAGGGCTTCCTTCCCAACATGCACAGCTCCTCCGGACCCCAAGGGACTGGGGTGCCCTAGGTCGCTCCTCTCAGCTTCCCTTGACAGAAGACTCCCCATACCCGGCCCCAGGGAGGTGAAAGTAGGAAAAGAGGCCCTTGGCTCACAGCAACGGTCCCAGGTTAGCAACCAGCTCGGCCCCCTTCACTTCCACTCCACTGCATGTCTGGCCCTGCTCACAGGAGGCTTCTAGGAAGAGGAGAGGGAGGGTAGAGAGATGGTCCTTCCCTCAAGGACGGCATCTGAGCTCCCACATGACCTAGAATCCTCTGTTCGACCACTGACACCCCCCACCCCCGCCCCCCGGCCCCAATCCACAGCTCTCCACCTCTCAGGCTACCCCCAGGACCAACCCCAGCCCTAGGTGGCCTTTTCGAATGTGCTGTGCCCTCCAGCTCTGCAGGAGTCAGCCAAGGGCCACTGTTGGGTCAGGAGAACACGGAGCTAGATCCCAACCCCTCTGCCCCGAGCTCATCCTGTGACCTTGAGCAGGTTCTACTCTCTGAGACTCCTTTTTTGCACCTCAATGCATAAGTAACGCTGCTGAGAGTCCATGATGAGTGTATGGAAAGCAGCTAGCTGAATGCCCAGCATGTTGGAAACATGAGAATCAAGTTCCTTTTGTGTTCATTATCTCATGCTCAAACCTACCCAGCCCCCTAACATGGTAGAGAAGATGGACAGGGACCAAGAGACTCCTGCTCCAGGGGGCATTTGAGGGTTTGGGTGACTTACGCTCTCTGCCTGACTCACAAGGAAGAGGAAAAAGCCAGACACAGCAAGGTCAAGCTCTAAGTGACTAAGTAACGTCTCCATTGTATGTTACTGCTGGTGCCCAGAGGTGGTCCTGGGGGGTAGCAGGGGATATTGGCCTCCTTCAACAGAACCCCCAGCCCATATCTACCTTCCTCCAAAGGTGCATGGGTGGTATGGGGTGAGAGCTGCATGTGTTGAGGAGGGGTGGGCAGACCTGGGGGTTCTAGGAGGGGGGTCTGCCCAGGCGTCAGGGCCTGGGTTATGTTGCCCTCTGGGCCTTGCTCAGTTTGCTGGGTCAGTGTGGGCTTTGCCAGGACAGGCTAAGTTGCCTCCCTGGGCCCAGTGGGGCAGAGGATAGCCATGAAAGGGGATGAGGATGGTCCCTTTTCTTAGTAGGCTTGTAGCCCTGGGATTACAGAAGTGGGACATAGAAATGTCATCTGTTGAATATTTACTATGCGCCTGGCCTTCTGAATGGTGCTTTGCGTGGACCTCACCTAAAATCATCCTCACAGCGTCCTTTGAGGGGGAGCCTCGCTATCACCCCCATTTTGCAGATGAGGACTCTGGGGGCTTTGTAGCTCACCAAGGTCACTCTCAGTGCTACGTGCAGCGCTGGAAGCCAGGGAGGTGTGCCTGACCCAGAAAGCAGTGCTCCTCGCCTGTACTACCCCATCTCCCTGCCCCTCCGACGGGATGGGGACAGCACCGGCCACATCAGACGCGCGGGATGCCATATCTGCTCCATCACCCATGTACTCTGTGGCCTTGAACCAGCTGCTTCCCACCTCTGAGCCTCAGTTTCCCTATCTGTGATGCGAGGAGGCCAAACTCACTTACTGGGG